AAGGACTCGACACCTCAAGTCTTAACCCTTTGACTGTTTCAGGGCCCTCTCTGAAACTGTCATTCTATGTCGCCAAATATTCGAAAAAAAAAAAAATTATTTTTCTTATGAAAATGTTAGGAATATTTTTACTAAGTGTTTTAACCCTTTCAGGTCCAAGGCCCAAATCTGGAGTCACGCACCAGTGTCCAAGAATTTTCAAAAAAAAAATTTGTTATTTTTTCTTATGAAAATCGTAGAGAATCTTTTTTGTGAAGGTAATAAAACAAAAAGTACGAAATTGGTGGAAATTGACGAAATTATGCTCTCGCGAATTTGATGTGTCAGCGATATTTACGAATCGGCGATTTGCCGACTTTGACTCCCATTTTAGGCCAATTACATATTCCAATCAACCAAATTCTTAGCTATTTCACTAGTATTACTTCTATTCTATCGATTGAGCACAAGAAATCGCCAAGTCAACTGTTTCAACTACAAAATAAAGTGATCGGAAATTGTTTAATTTGGCCATTTAACACAAAGTTCAAAATAGGGTCCCAGAATGAACAATGTAGGCATTCCTGGCACTAAACTAACATTTCTTCTGTTCATTAGTTATGTTTTGAGGCTTTACAAATAAATTCCATTTTGATTTTTTATTCACATAATGAATTTTTATTCACACCAAAAAATAGAAGATTTACTGTTATTCAATACTGTAATAATTGTTAAATATCATCACCATATTGTGAATGTATATTAGACCCACCAGCTGATGTGAATTAACGTTGTGAGGTCGTTTGTTTACTCTTGAATATCGGCAAAAATTAACATTTCCGCTACTTTGAGCTCAGTTTCAAGCCATTTCCAGTGCTAAAACCAATCAAAATCATCTCTATTTCTGTAATATGTCTTCCATTCTATCAAATGAGACCAAGAAATCGCAAATACAACTATAAAAAACATACGAAAAAACACTGCAAAGTTGCTGTTTTAATCGAAAAATCATGATTTCATTTTTTTCTCTCATTATACACAGTGTGCTGCAGGATCTGTTTTATGTGGTGCACACAACCACATAGATGTATTCTCTCATATCTAGGCCCAAATGTACCACTCACAGTTTATCAGAGTGAGCTGAGCTCATGGCGTAGATCTACGGTTTGGACACTCACCGTAAAGCCGTAGATCTACGGGACGGACCCTGAAAGGGTTAGCCTAAAAAAAAATTTTTGCCATCAGTACTTACCGAGATATAGAGCCGCAAAGTTTGCAGAAATTGACGTGCGTACGGCAACAGCGGCGACTGCCGCCCACCCGGTATTCTTTTATTTACTCTAATTCAAAGGTTTCTTGCATTTTTCAATATTTTTCTTTTCCAGGTAACTTATGTGGCCTGTGAGACCAATGTAAGGTGCATTGTTCAAATATACAATCATTATTTACAACACAATAACAAACAAACTTTATCACTATTAGTTTTGTGTATACACTTTGTTACACAAACAAACAATACAAAACAATGTTTATTACTATTGTTCCATAATATATATACATATGTAAGTCACTAACCACGTTCCTAGAACTGCTGCAGCTTGTGGAACTCTTTGAAACATGGGTATATGCAGAGGGCACTTCACACTCCTCACACATAAAAACGAGTGTCTCTGCGTGTTTGTGGCGTTTTGTGGTATGCATACATACATAACACCTCTTCTGAGCATTTTTCTTGGCAGTAGTAGGAGGCAGTTGTATGGGTAGTGATCACCAGGCCTCAAACGAGATGACTCTGTGGGCGCTGGTCTATTGCAGGAGTTGCTCCTTTGTACATTTGCAATTATTTGTCTGATTACTGACAGCAAAATTCACCATATTTTGGTGTTTTTGTTGGTCTTCAACTTGTATATGTTATAAGCATTTAGCATAGAGATATCAACAAGATGGAAAAAAAGTTTGATATACCACTTATAACTCTTGCGTACACAGTCTGCAAACCCAATCTGCATGTCATATTTGTCCACTAAGCGCATATTGAGGTTGTAGTCCATGACAGCTGCAGGCTTAGAATGGGTTCATTGGTCTCTCTGTTGTCCCTGCCACTGGGTACCATTTCGTTTGTGTGAACTGATGTCAACAATGTGACATCACGTTTGTCATGCCACCGAAATGCCATGATGTCATTGGCAGCAAAGGCTTGCACCTCACCTCTGCGAGTGCCAGCGTCGAACCTTGGCATATGTTTTGCGATTACCACGCACTGTGCCACCACCGTCTGTCAAGTTCACTCGCAAGAAATCACTGAGTAAGGGGCTTGTGTACCAGTTTATCAGTAAATAACATATGCCCCTTACCAAGATATGGTTCCATCATTGTTCGAACCACATCACCAGAGATACCCAATAACTTCATGGTATCTCTCAAAGTATTACTGCCAGTGTACACAATAATATCTAAAACAAGACCACTTCTGCAATCACACAGTACAAATAGCTTATAATACCAAAGCGTTTTCCTCTTGCTTGGTATATATTGCTTGAATGAGAGTCATTCCTTTGAATAAAATCAAGGACTCATCAATAACAAGCTTCCTGAAGGGATAAAAATACATGCAGCACTTTTTGTTTCAGGTACATAAACACATTTCTTATCTTATATAACCTGTCGCTTCTGTCAGCCTGGTTTTGTCTGAAAAGTGTACATACGCAACAGTATCAGGAAACGATTGACACCTATAATGTCACTAAAAACCTGGAGTTGAAATCAGGCGATCTGTTGTCCAGTATGTGGTGACAGTGTGCTATATACACATGTGGCATAAAGCATTATTGTGGCAAAAAACAGGTACATCTCTTGCCACAGTTGTCTCCTTCCACTTGTGTAGCCGTGATTTTGGTGAGAGAATTTGTATTTGCCATGGTATTCACAGTATGTGTTGGTTTCCCTGACAATGATGTCCATCAGGGGTTCATCGAAGAATAACTCAAAGCAGTCCAGTTCACTGGCATTGTTCCCAAGTGGACAAGATGGCTTTATTCCACTTTGTGTTTCATCAAAAGTCATGGGACTGGGAACAAACTCGTCACCGTCCTGCCAATCCCAGATGCGGTCTGCTGGTGGGGTCTGATATTGTACCGTGGTTGTGGCTGTGGTTGTGGCTGTGCAGGTTGTGGTGGTGCAGGTTGTGGCAGTGTGGGGTAGGGTGAGGCTGGTTGTTCTGCTGAGTCAGCCGCGTGGCTAGTAGCGTGGCCCGGTGATGGTGCCACATGGCCGTGCCACCCTCACTATCATCCACCACTGCCTCCTCCCTCACTGTCACCATTCATACCCATCGTTACAATATCGTCATCTTCACTATCAGGTCGTGGTGTTGGGCCACGGGATGTGCTCCCAGAGTTTCTCCTTCCCCTTGGAACAACCATATGAAACACTACCAGACCGCATGCTACGTCGTACATACTGGCGCTTCACTGGGGAATAATTCACTCTCACTGTCACTAGAACTGCTTTCAATGACTTTGAAATCACTATCACTATCACTGCTATCATCAGGGTGTTGTACACGACCAAATAGTTTCCTCTTTCGTCCTGGTACAGGCGAAAGTGAACGTGAACAAGCCGGCACAGCACCAGAGGTCGAAGGTTGTGGGTCATCTGGGTTTTCGTCACTATTTACGTTATCCTGGGCACTTTTTTCGGTAACACTCACTTGAAAACCCTTGAATTCACTGTCACTGACACTTTTCATCGCTGTTAGAGCATCACTTGGGAACAAAAGACCTCCAAATCCGCCGAGGAGTGAGGAACTTCTTACCGAGAGGCATGGTGAAAATGGACTGACAACATGGCGTTCCCACGATGCACCGCTAGGTCCCAGATTTTTTTCACAGGGTGCACACCGACCACTGAGACCCATTCTCTCCCGTGTAGGCCTATCAGGCCTTTGGCGCTCGATTTGAAGCCGCTAGAATTTGTGCGTATAAATACGTCAGAAACATTGGCTCGTAAGACGTATTTATACGTCGGAAACAGTCAAAGGGTTAATGGAAGGGGATTCCCCTTCTAAACACTAACACTCTCTCTCCCCTCCTCCCATCCCATCAATCATCACCAGATCTTCAATAAAAGTAAGTGTCATGTAATTGTGCATGCCTTTTTCAGTTTGTGTGTATTAAAATTAACATTTCATGTGGTAAATTTTTTTTTTCATACTTTTGGGTGTCTTGCACGGATTAATTTGATTTCCATTATTTCTTTTGGGGAAAATTCATTCGCATACCGATCATTTCGCATAACAATGAGCCCTCTTGCATGGATTAAAGTCGCTATGCGGGGGTCCACTGTAATATATAAATACTGCTTGTGAGGCTAGTACACCAAACAGGGATGAGAATGAAATTAGCTTAGAGGCTCCCACACCTCCGTATGCCCTTGGATGGTGGCCCAACAGCTAGCTGTGTGCTGGCTGCGCCATTCTTGTAGGGTTGGGTGGTCCTGTGGTTTAAAGTGTCATGTGGTTCTCGCTTACCATGAGGCAGGCCAGTACAACATGGGTTCGAATCCTTGGCTAGCGCAATGTTGTTATTGATAATTATAATAACTTATTTTCCAAGAAAGTTCAGTAGTGTTAAAGAGATAGGTTACAGTTTATTCCTTACACGAGACAGTCCATTGTTATGTTATCACTAATTGTACTACCTCGTATTACTAATCGAGTAAAATATTGAATACTTGCATTCTACCACTCTTCACCTGTCTAGACTTAAGTAGTCTGTAAGTGTATTAGGTTAAGTCTGCCTGAAATGCCTCGGCATGATAGTGACTTTCTTTGTACCAATCAAATTATGAAATGTAAACACACATTGCAACCTTAGCAAAGAAATAAAATTTTATTATATTATTATTAAGTGAAGCATTTATGGGTTTTTAGCATGATAAATAATATGCAGAAAGTTGAATAAAATTACTAGGGTCACTACTCGTATATTCTTTTATGATTTTAATTTGTGGAATTCTTTCAGGTGCAAGATACGATGCGAGTGTTGCAGCGTCACTTTAGCAGGGAGATTAGTAGACATGACCCAGATGGACCTTACATAAATGAGTTCCTCAGTAGCCTCAATGCTATAATGCAGTCTGTGGTATGTACTTTAGTGTAGTTCACATTATTAAGTTTTCCTTAATAATTCATATTTTATAATCATCTTATTTAAATAAAATTAGTAATAAATTTTTCATTTTCTAGGAGCTTGATATTTTATTATGTTAAGCCTTTCACTGTCGGTTCCGTAATATTACGGCTTGCAAGCCAGTGTCGGTCCCATAATACGTAGTATGCCAAAATTCTAGCGGCTTCAAATCTTGCGGGAGAAAGCTGGTAGGCCTGCATATGAGAGAATGGGTCTGAGTGGTCAGTGTGCGCAGTATAAAAAACTCCTGCAGCACACAGTGCATGAGAAAAAAAAACTACAACCATATTTTTCATTTAAAACAGCGACTTTGTGGTGTATTTTCGTATGGTATTTATGTTTGTATTCTCGTTTTCTTGGTCTCATTTGATAGAATGGAAGATATATTACAGAAATATAGATGATGTTGAATTGTTTATAGACTAAAAGTACCTCAAAATTGAGCTCAAATTAGTGGAAATGTTTGATTTTTGCCAATGTTCAAGAGTAAACAGATAACATCATGCGTCCAATACACATCAACTGGTGGGTATAATATGCTTTCACAAATATGCTGATATTATTTATACCATTTTTACAATAATGCGGTAGTCTGCATAACAGTAAATGTTTTGTGTGAATAAAAATTCAAAATGGAAAGCAAGAGTAATATAAGAGGGGCCTGGAGATGTGACTAATGAACAGAGAAAATGTTATTTTAGTGCTAGGAATGTTTGTATTGTTAATTCTGGACCCTATTTTGAAATTGGCCTTCTTTGAATTGTGTAAGAAATTGGCCACATTACGAATTTCTGATCACTTTATTAGGTAATTGAAATGGGTAAATGGGTGGTTTCTTGTAATCAGTCGATAGAACAAAAGGAGTTTGGGTGAAAAAGCTATGAGTTTGGTCATCTGGAACAATGGAATTGGCCAAAAACAGGACTCAGTGAGCAAAATCACTAATGTGTAAATATTGCCAAGACTACTAATTCGTGAAAGCCTAATTCCATAAGTTTTTCATCAAATTTCATACTTTTGGTGTCATTACCATCAGGAAAAGATTCTATAGCACTTCATAAGAAAAAAAAATTTTTTTTTTTAAATTCTTCGACACAGAGCAAGTTTGTGAGCAGGGATCGCGACAGTGAAAGGGTTAAGTTTGCCAGAAGTTAAACACTGTACAATATGAAACTAAAGAAGTTAATGAGAAATGTCTTTTTCAGCAACATGCTTCAAATTTTGTGGCTGGGCTACACGACCACTATATCCACTCAGCTTCACTGTTCCGATTGCTTAAGAACTTGCATAACAAGAAGGGATGTGAAAAATTGTATAGTCTCACTTGCCAGCTAGTTGCCATTATCTTGAGGATGGCACCTGAAAGGGTATCTCCCTTAACACGTGTTCTTCAGTCTTTCAACATCGAAGAAATTCAGTGTAAAGAAGTAAAGAAAAAGGAACCACAGGCAGAAATTGACATATCTTCTACTCAAGTGGTTTTGCTTCACTTGGCTGCCACACAGCCAAATAATTTAGAAAAAGAGATCTGTCATGTTGTGGGATGTGCCATGAAAGATGGAAAGATGGCACCTGTAGTTGGTGCTCTGTCACAACTCTTGTTGACTGGTGTCTCAGTAAAACACGATGAGGAGGTTCAAGTTGGTGCTAGTACAGCTACTGCCCTTTTGTTAGACTGGTTACAGGTGTTGGACCCTGAGTTGGAAAAAGGGTGTGATCAACTACAGCAAATTCTGCTTTTCAAAAAGCGAGGTGGTACTGAACGTAAGGAAGGTGGTTATAGTCAGGCATACCTCCTGGCTGCCTTTACACATCAAGCAAGATGGGACACACTAGAACATTGTGTACGTGCACTTCTCCATGTTCATAGTCCAACATTGGATCCTGCAGCAGTTTTGGGATTTGTCTGGGCTGTGTTGCACGTGCCCAAATTATGGCAGGGTAGGGAACGTCGTACACCTCGCCATGCTCCCCGAGAAACTTTAGTGTCATTTAGTGCCTCAGAAATTGTTCATCTATCTCAGTACATGATAGCAGAATGCCAAGCAGCTATAGAAGCAGCACGTGGTACAGCATCTTTAGAAACCCATTTGCCTTTACTACTTCATTATTTAGATGACTCACCTTCTTCAGTTCAGGCTGTTGCAGAACATTTGGCCGAAGTTTCTCAAGGGACAGATTCATGTGGACAAGCAGCTGGACATCTGCTTTATCATCTTTACCTGAGGATGCCGCGAATAATATCGTATTTAGTACCAGGTACAATAAATAGGGTTGTATTAGCTGGTGCATCTGGAGGCAGAGCTCAGGAAAGTGGGGCAGATGTTGCATTACACACACTCCTTACCATGCTTGCTTCACCTCAGCCAGGTAAAGAGTTTCTCCGACGCATGTGCGATTTGGAGTTTGCAGTTCGAAAACAGGCTGCATCTCATCCACTGATAGTACTACGTCATCTTCCTTTGCTGGCTGCTTCATTAAAAGGCACAAACCACTTGCATTTTACAGCATTGCGAACTAGCAATTACCTAGAGTTGTTTTCAATGGTACTGGGTGTATTAGAGCTCCTGCAGCCTCTGCTATTTGCACCTCAACATCATTCAGCACTAACTCCAACATTAGATAGCTTTATGGCTTTATTTAAGGCACATCCTATCATCCAAGATCTTGACCATTTACTGGTAAGATTCTCATGCCTTCTGATGGAGTGGGTAGGTTGTCAGGGTGGACCAGCTGGGGCTTACTTATGCTCTCACTCCAACTTATTAGCTACGCTGCAGATTCATCACCCTGATATTGCTGCTGTTCGCTCTCTGGCTGCTATTGCTGCAGCTCGTGGCATGGATCAGCCCAAAGAATCTGCTTCAAATCAGATTTGTGGTTCAGATCCCAGTTTGTCATTTGGGGGTTTCCATGGCCCAATGCCACCACCATGGATAATGTCCCAAGTTGAGGAACTCCAAGCTAGATTGGAGGCTTCACGATTCCCAGAAGATCAGCTAGAGATTCTCAAGAAAATTATTGACTTGCCACTTCCCTGGGTCAATGCTGCCCTGCCATCTTTCACACATACATTTTGTGAAGGAATTGTCAGTGAACATAAAGATGTTAGCCGTTTATGCTGGGAATTAGTTGCTCGTTTGTTACACCAGCGTCCTGCTTTGGGCGGCCGTGTTGGCCAAGCTGTGCTTAGTGCCCTAAAGAGTGAAGATAGTGGTGTGATAGAGACTGCCTTGGAACATCTCCCTGAAGTCATTTTACTTTTGCATGATCAAGCAGTTGACCTAATGAGTACAGCATTTATTTCTACACTGACAGCCTCATCCAGTGCTACAGCTTGTCTTAGTGAAGCTCTGACTTTGCTTCACCTACACACAGGAGCATAAATATTTTGCTGTTTTAGCTAGTGGAAAAGTGATCAGTAGAGAGTTAGGATCAAGATTCATGTGTACAATAATATTTTTTATTTTTATTTATCGGTGGGATGTGGCCAGTTTGTTGAAAGAAGAAAGATCTTTATTTATAAAAATTCATGTAGTTCATGATACTGGTGAGGGGTCTCTTGATCCAAGGAATTGAACCTGACTTCCTCCCTTCTTGGATCAAACCAGATTTTCTCTCATTTTCGTAGGTGATGTATGACCTCAGAATCTAGTTCCTTCTGCAACATCCCCTGCCCATGATTGTAATAATAATTTGTTGAGTGTGTTTACTTACAGTTTTAAGTAAAATTAATATGTATTGTAGGGCTCACACAGTGCCTGGGGAATGCGAGGCAATCAAGCTTGATTCAAGGAAGAAAAAATCAAGTCTGGTTCCTTAGGTCAAGGTACCATTCACCCCTTGAGAGGTATTACAAAATAATACATTGTAAAATACAGAACTGAAAAATAAGGTTGAGCAAAAGGAGCATAAAGGAAAGTGTTTATAGAAGCAGTTTTTGTGCGAGTTAAAAACTATGTAGCTGAAACACTAATGATTGTAGTGTGTGTAAAATAGTGTAGCTGTTAACTAAAAATATACTGTTACTATATACATATATAAAGTTGTTTTGTATTAACCAAATATGCTGCAGATAAGTAATTCCTCTTGAGTAATATTTAGCAGTTAGTTGCTGTGGTAAAGGGGCTTTTGATCCAGGGAATTGAACCTTCTTCCTTTCCTTGGATCAAATCTGACACCCCCAACCCTCCTCCTTTTGACCTTATAACAATAATCTTCTATTTCTACAAGTACTTATACAAGGTATACAGTCCTAGCTGACATCAACGACATACTACTATATAGAAAGCCCCTTGTTATGCAGAGCATTTTGGGAAAATTGGGGCAATTTTGTCCCAGGATGCAACCTACACCAATTTACTAACACTCAGGTACCCATGAAAAATGAACATCAAGTATCGTAAGGAAACACATCCTAATGTTTTTCAGTTGTGAAATCTAGCTCTGTTAAGCCCTGTTCTAATGTAACTCGTATTGTTGGTACTGTGGTGGTAGTGCCACCCCACCTGATGGAAATTGGATCGTCTTAGAGCGTATCGGGTGACTCTATGGTCTGGTGAGACAGTGTGTAGCTATCTGGAAGTACCACTGATGGAGGATGACCAGAGGTTACCTCCTTATCCAGAAGTGACACCTGAAGGTGGCATTATTAGCTAAAAGTTGATTGAACAGTTAGTGCTCCTGTCTAAAAGGCAGTATTTCCAAACCTTCTTCATTTAATTCTGAAAGTGTTATCCTGGTGGTCTGATCCAGGTAAGGTAAGTGGTGGTTCCCAGGGAACATCACTGCCTGCCTCAGCAGAGATGACTCTAGTTCAGGGTACATGTATTGATGATATATAAAAATTTAATGCTCATATTTTTATGAGGATAGTGAGGCTCAGGTCAGGGTATGTAGGAGACAGGAAGATTACTTCCAAGTAAAAGTAGGTCATAGACAGGGATGTGTAATGTCACCATGGTTGTTTAACATTTATAGATGGGGATGTAAAAGAAGTTAATGCTAGGGTGCTGGGGAGAGGGGTGGGATTAAATTATGGGGAATCAGATACAAAATGGGAGTTGACACAGTTACTTTATTCTGATGATACTGTACTTTTGGGAGATTCTAAGGAAAAGTTGCAGAGGTTAGTGGACGAGTTTGGGAGGGCATGTAAAGGTAGAAAGTTGAAAGTGAGCATACATAAGAGTAAGGTTATGAGGGTATCAAACAATTTAGATAAAAATTGAATATCACATTGGAGGGAGGGAGTATGGAAGAAGTGTATGTTTTCAGATATTTGGGAGTTGACTTGTCAGTGGATGGGTTTTATGAAGGATGAGGTTAACCATAGAATTGTTGAAGGAAAAAAAGGTGAATGGTGCACTGGGGTATCTGTGGAGACAAAAAATGTTTTCCATGGAGGTAAAGAAGGGAATGTACGAGAGTATAGTGGTACCAACACTTATATGGGTGTGAAGCATGGGTTGTAAATGCTGAAGCTGGAGGCAGTGGATATGCCGTGTCTAAGGACAATATGTGGTTTAAATATCATGCAGAGAATTCGTTACGTGGAAATTATGTGTAGTTACTAAAAGTATTAGTCAGAGGGCTGAAGAGGGGTTGTTGAGGTGGTTTGGTCATTTAGAGAGAATGAAGCAAAGTAGAATGACCTGGAGAGCGTATAAATCTGTAGGGGAAGGAAGGCGAGGTAGGGGGCCATTTCCAAAAAGGTTGGAGGGAGGGGGCAAAGGAGGTTTTGTGGGCGAGGGGCTTGGACTTCCAGTGGGTGTGAGCGTGTTAGGGGTGAATGGAGACAAATGTTTTTTGGGCAATATCTTGTGAAGGGATTCAGGGAAACCGGTTAGCTGAACTTGAGTCCTGGAAATGGGAAATACAATGCCTGCGCTTTAAAGGAGGGGTTTGGGATGTTGGCTGTTTGGAGGGACATCTAAGCTGTTGTATCTGAGTGCCTCTGCAGAGACAGTGATTATGTATGAGTGATGGTGAAAGCATTGAACGATGATGAAAGTTTTTTTTCTTTCTTTTTGGGTCACCCTGCCTTGGTGGGAAACAACTGACGTGTTAAAAAAAAAAATTAGCTCATATATAAGAATTTCAAAAACTGTTGGTATAATCTCCCAAATTTGCTATTAAGTTCCTCATCTGTACTACTAACACTACTTCTCTCTTGTTTACTTATACCTCGCCTACAGAATTTGTGTTCTTCCTTATCTATGTACAGTGGAACCTCGGCTTACAAACGCCCCCACCATGCAAATTTTTCAGGATACGAACTGTCATTCGGTCAATTTTTTGCTTCTGGATACGAAGAAAATTTCAGGATGTGAACTTCCCCCTCGTGGGAGGTTCCTTAAATAAGTTATTAAATAAAATATTTATTTCTTTGCAAAGGTTAAAATATGTGTTTACATATCATAATGTGATTGGAGCAAAGAAAGCCACTATCATGCTGAGGCATTTTGGGCAGACTTAATCTAATACAAATAGATTACTTAAGTCTAGACAGGGGAAAAGTGTACTAGTAGTGGTTACCAATGTTTTGCTGATGGTGGTGCCAACTACTGTCAGCCTTTTGAAGTTTCTCCTTACTGTTATCATTATTATTATTATTACTATTATATTTTATTATTATTGTTTTAATAATAATTATCATTATTATTATTATTAGTAGTAGTACGTACGTGGTGAGGGGCTCTTGATCTTGGGAATTGGATCTGTGCTCCAGGTCACTAAATTAATAATAATAATAATAATTATAATAATACGTAAGTACTAATAATAATGATAATACAGTAGGGCCCCACTTATATGGCAGGTTAGGTTCCAGGCTACCGCCGTAAAGCGGAAATCGCTGTAAAGTGGAACACCCTTTTTTTCCCCTTATAAATACATACAAATACTAGATAACAAGTTTACACTAACATACATTAAGTTAGCAATAGAACCAGGCATCAAAAAACAATACAAAAGTAAAATACACATATAGTGCACTCATTACTTACCTTAAAATATTTGTAGTCTTAATCTAGGGTGAGACAAGTAGTATTTATTGTAAGAAATTAAGTGTGGTATGTGTGGTAGTCAGCCGGGCTACCATACCAGGCCACCCCACCTACACATAATATTCTATTACATTTAAGCATCCCAGAGCGATAAAATGCATATACAGTTCACTCATTACTTTCCTTAAAATATTTGTAGTCTTCCTAGGTAGTAGGTTGGTAGACACCAACCACCCAGGGAGGTACTACAGTCCTGCCAGGGAGTGTAAAATGGAAGCCTGTAATTGTTTTACATGATTGTAGGATTGCTGGTGTCCTTTTTTCTGTCTCATAAACATGCAAGATTTCAGGTACATCTTGCTACTTCTACTTACACTTAGGTCACACTACACATACATGTACAAACATGTATATACACACCCATCTGGGTTTTCTTCTATTTTCTTTCTAGTTCTTGTTCTTGTTTATTTCCTCTTACCTCCATGGGGAAGTGGAACAGAATTCTTCCTCCGTAAGCCATGCGTGTTGTAAGAGGCGACTAAAATGCTGGGAGCAAGGGGCTAGTAACCTCTTCTCCTGTATATATTACTAAATGTGAAAGGAGAAACTTTCGTTTTTCCTTTTGGGCCACCCCGCCTCGGTGGGATACGGCCGGTGTGTTGAAAGAAAGAAAGAAAAGATTTGTAGTCTTAATCTAGGGTGAGATGAGTAGTATTTATTGTAAGAAATCAAGTGCGGTATGTATGGTAGCCAGCCAGGCCAACCCACCCACACGTACTATTCTATGATATTTAAGCATCCCAGAGCGATAAAATGCATATATAGTTCACTCATTACTTACCTTAAAATATTTGTAGTCTTAATGTAGGGTCAGAGGTGAGTAAACAAGATAAAACGAATAAATGAGAGAGAGAATGAGCACATGAGGGAGGACAGGCGCAGAGTTATGTAAACAAACCAGGCAAATGTAAGTTTTGTAAACAAACAAAGTGTACACGTCTGGTTTGTGTACAAGTTACATTGTGTACATGTTGTCTCTACATTGATACAGTAGAATTCAATTCAATTCAAATTCAAAGTTTATTCTCTATAAGGATTACAATGCTGAGTTTACAGAATTTGGTTATTGTGTGGTTTATATGTAGTAAAATAATAATTACAGAGTGTACCACTAGAACACCTAGCATGGCTAGGCATTTCGGGCAGACTTAGATTAGATCTTAAATTTAAAATATTACAAATTATGAGGTAAGTTGGTATTATGGCTAAGTGACTAAATACTAGTTTGTGAGTTTAGCAATGTGAATGCTTTTGCTTTGGCACAATACATAGTTTCAGTATTGGAGTATCACAGGCCAACTTATGACTAGTTAAGATTCATTATTTTAAGATTGAGATTGATATTTCTGTTTATGGTCAAATGGGTGGGTGAGTGTAAGTGTGAATCACCAGGTGGTATTCGTGTAATTAGTTGACAGGGTGTATCAGGGAGATAAGATGTTTTTTAATGGTAGTTTTGAAGGTGATGAATGTGTCTGCAGTTCTAGAGTTTTCAGGTAGGGTGTTCCAGATTTTAGGGCCTTTGACATACATTGAATTTTTGTAAAGGTTTAGTCGGACACGGGGAATGTCATAGAGATGTTTGTGTCTGGTGTTATGCCTGTGGGTTCTGTCAAACTATCAAGAAAGCATTTTAGGTCAAGGTTAATATTGGAATTTAAGGTCTGTAGATGTAGATTGCACAGTAGTAAGTGTGGATGTACTGAACAGGGAGTAAGTTTAGATCTATGAAGAGTGGTGGGGTGTGTTGCCAGGGATGGGATTTAGTGATTATTCTTACTGCGGCTTTTTGTTGGGTTATTATTGGCTTTAGGTGTGTTGCTGCAGTTGAACCCCAAGCACAGACAGCATAGGTGAGGCATGGATATATAAGTGAATGGTATAGTGTGAGAAGGGCAGTTTGTGGCACGTAGTATCGTATCTTGGAGAGGATCCAACCGTTTTGGGATACTTTTTTAGTTATGTGTTGGA